TAATTTTTTTTTTTGTAGAGATGAGGTTTCACTGTGTCACCAAGGCTGGTCTTAAACTCTTGGCCTCACGGGATCCTCCTGTCTTAGTCTCCCAGTGGGCTGGGATTATGGATATGAGGCACCTCACCTGACCTGTGATGAGTTTTCGACAATGTCATTCCTTTTGTACAGAAGCACCTAAGCTGAAGAGTCCCTTGAGAACAAGTACTATCCTGTGGTTTCATAACCTTTCTTCCATTTGTGGTTCTTGCCAAGTTAAATTTAAATTACATCTTATCAAGATAGATAAACCCAAGTTTTCCAGAGCTGGAATATAGAAAATGGATTGACCTACAAGTCCTACTCACCCATAGCCAAGGCATGGAGACCTCAACACACCTGGGCCCTAAACATCACCTTTCATTGTGAGTAGCTCTGAGATAACACTTCTGGTTGGTAAGTGCCCACTGGCAAAAGTTTATGTAACAGCAAGTGAAGGAATAAAGAGTCAACAAAACATTTTCTGTTCCCAATTCTAGCATGAATTTGATTAGATATTCTATGAAGAATTTTCATATGCCACAGTTCTGACCAAATTCTCAAATGAACCGAAAAATTATATTTAAAAGTCAACCTTCTTTCTCACTCTGTTGCCCAGACTGGAGTGCAGTGGTGCAATTATGGCTCAGTGCAGCCTCAACCTCCTGAGCTAAAGCAATCCTTCCTCAGCCTCACAAGTAGCTGGGACTGCAGATGCTTGCATGGATTTTGGTATTCACAGATATTGGGGAGCTGGAACCAATCCCCCCATATACCAAGGGACAAATGGTATGTTTTGTTTTGTTTTGTTTTTGAGACAGTCTTGCTCTGTTGCCTAGGCTGGAGTGCAATGGCACAATCTCAGCTCACTGCAACCGCCACCTCCCAGGGTTAAGAGTGGGCTAAGATTACAGGTACCTGCCATCATGCCCAGCTAATTTTTGTATTTTCGTAGAGACAGGGTTTCACCATGTTGGCCAGACTGGTCTTGAACTCCTGACTGCAGGTGATCTGCCTGGCCTCAACCTCCCAAAGTGCTGGGATTACAGCTGTGATTCTCTGTGCTGGGACTTTTTTTTTTTTTCCCCCAAGATGGAGTTTTGCTCTTTTGCTCCCAGGCTGGAGAGCAATGGTGCACTCTCAGCTCACCACAACCTCCACCTCCCAGGTTCAAGTGATTGACCTGCCTCAGCTTCCTGAGTAGCTAGGATTACAGGTACCACCACACCTGACTAATTTTGTATTTTTTAGTAGAGATGGGGTTTCTCCATGTTGGTCAGGCTAGTCTTGAACCCCTGACCTCAGGTGATCCACCTGCCTTGGCCTCCTAAAGTGCTGGGATTATAAGTGTGAGCCACCGCACCCAGCCTCTATCTGTTTTTACAATTATACTGTTGAATACATGATGTTCCATGACAGTGGTAAATTTTTAATGACAATTTTTAATTGAGTGGAATTACCATAAAGATAATAAAAGTAGCAGCTAATATTTACTGAGCTGTTACTAGGTGCCTTTAAATACCATAGATTTCTAAGTTCCCCGTAACTCTTCCTTATTTTGCTTAACTGCTCTATCTTAAATTGCTCATGCTTGCTTCAGTAGCACATATACTAAAGTTGGAACAATAGAGAGATTGGCATGGCCTCTGTGCAAGAATGACGTGCAAATTTGTGAAGTGTTCCATATGTTTTTAAAACAAAAATATGACTCCTATATTTTCACGGTGTTTGTGCATATGACCTTTTGTTTAGGTTGAATTGTATCCGAAGATGATATTTCCAGAAATGAGATTACTGTGAGTCACAGGACATTAGCATTCTTGTTATACTTGATGTAAACTGCCAAGCTTTCAGGCATGGTGGCTGTTTTTCCTGGCCTATAATTCCAACACTTTGGGAGGCTGAGGTGGGAGGATTGCTTGAGGCCAGGAGTTGAAGGAGGCAGTAGAGTGAGTCACTGTATTCTTTTAAAAAAAATTTCCAAGCTTTACCCTGGTGGAAGGCTTGTATACAATTTAAACATCACTAATAGTAAAAGAAAATGCCCATTTCACTGCACCTTTGCTGGCACAGGGTACAATTACAAGTTATTTTTTGTTTGATTATTTTTAATGAAAGACCTCATAAATTTTGTTACATTTTAATATCTATTTTCTTAGTTTATTAGCTTTCTCTCTCTCTCTTTCTTTCTTTCTTTCTTTTTCTTTCTTTCTTTGTTTCTTTCTTTTCAGATGAAGTTTCACTCTTGTTGCCTAGGCTGGAGTGCAACGGCACAATCTCTGCTGACTGCAACCTCCTTCTCTTGGATTCAAGCCATCCTCTTGCCTCAGTCTGCAGAATAGCTGGAATTACAGGCATGTGCCACCATACCTGGCTAAGTATTTTCAATAGAGACAGGGTTTCTCCATGTTTGTCAGGCTGGTCTCGAACTCCATAAAGTAATCCAACTGACTCAGCCTCCCAAAATGCTGGGATTACAGGTGTGAGCTACCGTGCCCAGCTAGCTTTCTTTTTTGCTCCCTTTTTTTTTGGGGAGACCAAGTCTCACTCTGTAGCCCAGGCTTGAGTATGGTGGTACAGTCTCGACTCACTGCAGCCTTGACCTCCTGGGCTCAGGTGATCCTTCCACCTCAGTAACTGGGACTATAGGCACATGCCACCATGTCTGGCTAATTATTTTTGATTTTTAATAGAGACAAGGTCTTGCCATGTTTCCCAGTCAGGTCTGGAATTCCTGGCCTCAAGCAATTCTCCCACTGCCCCCTCCCAAAGTGCTGCTATTATAAGCATCAGCCACCAAGGTTGGGCTGTCCATGTCTTTTCTGTTTATTTATAGAGTTAACGTGTCTTTTACTAATTAGATGATCTATATATTTAATCTTTTATTAAATTATAAAAATAGTGAAGACTTTCAAATGAAGAAGTGAAAAACTTCCTTTACGCATTAGACCCATAATCTTATCTCAGGAAATAATTGGCCATATTCTTCAAATACATATGGGCTAATTGAATATCACTTCTCATTTTCATGTTTCGTGGACATCTGTGTCAATTTCTATTGATCTATCTGAATCCTTTTCATGGTTTCCTAATGTTTTATCATATGGATATATCACAATTGACCAGTCAGCCTCTATAGCCATTTAAGCTCCTTCTAATATTTGCTTTGAGCTCTTTATATCATTAAAAATTAACCTCCTCAGCAGGTTGTGGCAGGTGTGGCAGCTCACACCTGTAATCCCAGCACTTTGGAAGGCTGAGGTGGGAGAACTGCTTGAGGGAGAAGGATCACCACCAGCCTCGTCGACATAGCAGCACATTGTCTCTAAAAAACATTCAAGATAGCATGAGCTGCACATTGCGGTCCACACCTGTAGTTCCAGCTACTGGGGAGTCCGAGACTGGAGGATCACTTGAGCCTAGGAGGTCGAGGCTGCAGTAAGCTGTGGTCACACCACTGCACTCCAGCTTTGGTAACAGTAAGAATGCATTTCTTAAATAAAATAAAAATTAGGTTGGAAGATTGCTGAAGTCGTGTAGGTTGAGTCTGCAATGAGCTGTGATTGTACCACTGTGGTCCAGCCTAGGGGATAGAGCAAGATTCTGTCTCAAAAAAGTAAAATACAATAAAAATTAACCCTTTAGCATATCTCCCAGTAACACCTTCCCTCTAATGTTTCTCCTAGAAGCTCTTGGATTTTGTTTGCTTTTCACGTATCTTATAAAACTTTTATGGGATTGGTTGGATGTCCGCCTCATTCCTTCTTTATTTTTAAAGAATGTCTTTTTGTCACTTCCAGCTGGATCTACCATGAAAGACACCAGAGTTCAGGAGGAGACTGGGCATCATGTTACTCAGGTACAAAAAGACTTGGACAATAACTCAAAAATGATCAAATAATAGTGCATGCATCACGTGCAATGGGAAGCTCTTCTGGAGAGTGGGAGAAGCTTCCAGATAAGGTGACAGTGAAACTGGCCTTTGAAAGATGAGGAAGAGTTGTGTGAGAGTAGGGAGCGAAGGGGGATGTGGAGGGATGGGGAATGGGCAGGGAAACCAGCACTGTAAAGACCTGGACAATTAAGGTGGCACACTTGGTTCAGGGAATGGGGAATGAGGTGTGGCAGGAATGCTCTGGAGAGACAGTAATTTGCTTGTATGGAATTTTGCCTGAGAGACCTCACTACAGTTTCTGATCTGGTGATGTTATCGTCCATCACTGTCCCTGTCAGATAGTTTGGAATAGGTGTGATGATCACAGTAACATCAAGCATAATATTTCATGAATTCTCACAAAGTCACAGGCAGGTACCAATTATCCCCATTTTATGAATGAGGTGATAAAGACAGGGATGATGAGTGATTCCCCAAGCTCACATGGATACTAAGCTGAGTCAGCTGTAGGGACTGCTTTGACTTTAACACTTGCTCTTTTCATGAGCACCATGTATTGCTTCTCCTATGCAGTTAGGCAGGTAGGTGAAAGAAAAGCCCGTGTTTCTCTCTAGTCACACACTTTGACTGACTGACTGTGTGTGTGGAGCTCATACACCAAATTCTCCAGTGTTCTGGATAGTAACTGGGCATCTCACAATGTTATTCTGACACTACCTGGAGCTGGCACAGACCCTGCAGGTTAGGCATTTAGTCCCATGAGACTACCCCCACTTCAGATGCCAATGGCAAGTATTAGGTTTTCTCCTGTACC